TTGCCTTTATTGCGTTCGCAACCATTTTGACCTACAATTATTTATTCTTTTATGTTGTTATGTTAGATAAAAATATTTTTACGTGGTCAAACCTTAATTTTTAATTTTAATTATTGCACCCAGTTTTTTAAATTAAAAAGTGATGTCGATTTGAGCGGGCACTCATGGGGACGTCCAGGCAGAGGACGTTGCCAAGAAATTATATCTTAGCCAAGTCAGTGTAAATAAATAAAGTAGCGTGTATTGATGTTTTCTTTTTGATAAATGCTCTTCTTTCTTTTAACTAACCTCGCAAAAAAGTGCACACATAGTGAATGGGTTTTAAACCGTGTTGATATTTGTGATTGTCTTTTTTTGATTAGTAACATTCGTTGATAACTCGGCAACCCTGCACCTTATGATCTCGCGATGCTCTTAAGGTCAGGGTCGCTAATATTTCCATAATGGTACACTAAATTTGGAGGCTGACGTTTTGAATAGGCATTCGATTTTTCTCTTTGGCGCTACACCCATCCATTTGGTCTAGTAAGGTCGCATGCGGGTGATTCATCCATCGCGTTCTTAGCACCTCATTAAAATACAGTACAATACAATATTCTAAAACATTTGTTTATATTTTTCTCACTTTCGTACAAAAAATACTAATTATGTAAGACCATGCATGCTATATTTTCAGAAATATTCAAGCAGCTGGTTTTTTACTTCTCCGAATTTGAACAGGATGTATTTTTCCTGTGTGGGGTTTAAATTTGGAGCATCCTGTCGGGTTTGTTTTATTTGGAAGCAACCAGGGATATTCTTCCCCCCTCACATCCCAAATTTCAACCGTTTCAAAAATACGCCCAAATTGAGAGGGACCTTGAAATGTGAAGCCGTTCTGAACATTGATATTCATGATAATGGTCTAGGGTGAATAAATCGAATAATCAATTGCAAATTGCGGGTTTGGACTTGAAAAGTATTTATCACTGTAAACCTGGTCCGAACTACCTTTCCCGATGGTAATGTACGTGACTGTAAAACTTTATATGTTCTTTGATTTATTGAGGCTGAAAGTAAAATTTATTAATTGGTGGATTCGTAAGGAGCAAGGAAAAATGAGGCAGTTTAGAAAAAGACTTTTTCAATTTTTTCCCTACATTTCAACCTTTATTCGAGTCATCTTCAGGGCATAAAATGTGTTGCTATTCCTGTGGTGTTATATTGATGTTGATGAACCAAATAAAGGTCGAAATGTCGGAGAAAGGTGTTTTCTAAACTACCTCATTCTTGACTGCTCCTCCCGAATTCTACAATTATTGAACAACCGGTTACTTAAAAATTTTTTTATCGAGGTTAAATTTATGTTATAACCGAAAAACATGTAAGTGGACACATTGATATGTTTGAGTTTGGAACGTTGTGTATCAGTACGAATCCCAGTAGTCATCAGTAAGTCGTGGAGTCTTTCAATATCCCATGTAGGTTGGTGGGCACGATTACCGAATTTTTCGAGTGTAGTCAAATAAAAGTGGTCTGTCTGAATAAGGGGTTGTCGTCGCAATAAATAAGTAATTACCAATATTATGATTTATATTTACTCCTTAATTCTATCGCTTTCCTGTTGCCTATTTTTCAGTTGGGGAAAATTGTCACCCCAGAAGTATGTTATTTGACCCCAGGTTGACGGTTATTCGGTTGGGTGCAATCCTAAAGGATGGTGGTTGAACCTTAGGTGAAACTAAGTTTCTCTAAATTCCAGAATAGATTATTTAGTGGATTAGTAGTGAAAAATATAAAGACTGGGAGTGATCCCGAGGAAAAAAGTTTTGTGTAGAATTTTCTTTTTTCTTTGAATGAGGTATACTATATAGGATTTACCTTTTTCCTTAAATGTTCTATACCATATCGTTTATCTTTTCTCTTTGAATATGCTATACCATATACAATTTTTGCTCAATAAGAAGCTAGGGTTTTCTTTTTTCTTTCAAGAAGCTATACTGCATAGAATTTTCTTCGAATAATGTATACAGTGTAGAATGATTATTATTATTTATTTTATTTTATTTATTCTAATAAGCTACACAGTACAGAATTTTTATTTTTCCTTAAATAATGAATACCATATAAACTGCTAAATCCACAAAGATTGGAATAACGCAAATTTATCTATAAAGCCAAACCATACTTTAGAGGGGCGAAGGTGGCCGCAACGGTTTAGACGGTTGACACAGCGCTCATCACTGTTAGGTAAAGGCCCCGGGTTCGAAACCAGCGGCCCTGCATTTGAACCCGTCATACTTACAAATGGGCTTTTCTTTTTTTTTTTTTTTTTTTCAAAAACACCGACACTCTGAGGGTTTATATGACCTTGGCTGTTGCGAACCCTCGTTTAAAAAAAATTAAAAAAATAAAGTATCAGGATACTACATAACATATATTTTACATGAATATTCCTACAGTATCAAATTGATAAAATGAGCCATTTTTAGGAAAAATTCAAAAATTTGATTGATTCCGAGAGAAGGAGGTAGTCCCGATACATTAACTTGTTTAACTTAACTTTAACTTGACAAATGGTATGGACATACTTACATTTTTTCCCCATAAACACCGGCACCCTGAGGATTTATATGACCTCTGCTGTTGCGGAAAAAAAAACTTTACAAAATATTCCGAAATTGGGCAGTAATTGTGATAATCATGATGGAAAGGATGAGGAAAATCGTATAAAACTTTTTTACTAGTACCTAATAGTAAATGCAATATTATTTGTAATAATTACCTATCTCCACCTCAGTGTAGACGGAACATGAGTAGAATAATTATTTATTTATGTAGACAATGATTATCTTCGAGATTAACAAAAGAAACGACAAAAATAATTACCACTGTTCGCCCGTTATTAATTATATTTAATGGACGTATTAAAGGCTAAACAAGTACATGAATTAACTACCGATTTACTTCATTTCTCCTTCATTTTGTGTTGAATTAAACAATTCATAACCTTGAAAATCAAATTCAGTTTTATTTAAACAGGTTTTGTTTTAGTTTCAAATTGCAATAGTGTCCATTTTCGTGGACTACTGTTCAATATTTCAATCGATTTACGAAAATATTATTATGATAAATAAATTTAACCAATATTCATTGTAATTTCTAGTTTGGGATTTGTTTGATTCATTCGTACATTTTAATTAAAAAAAGAAAAGAGGCAGAGATAAAGTAGTAGGCGGATCTAAGAAGGAAAGACACAAAGAAAAAGGGAGGGGGACAGACGAAAGAAAGTAAAAAATAATGAATTATTGATAGCGAAAAAGTGAAGAATAAAGAGAGGGAGGAATAGACGAAGAATGGAACAAAGAAACAGCGTAGTCAGAAAAAGAATTAGAGAAAGAGAAAAAAGAAATTGCCAGTGTGGGCGAGAAAGAATACATAAATATTCTCATAAAGAGTGAGAAAAGTGCAAGAGAGACAGTAGAATCAAGGAAAAATATAGACATAAATTTAAAGAATGTGTGTGTGTGTGTGTGAGAGAGAGCGAGTGAGAGAGAGAGAGAGAGTGATAATAAAGAGCCCAAGGGGTAAGAATAGAAAGACGGAGGAATAGACGAAGAAAGAAACAAAGAAATGGATCCAGGTTAAAAGAGAATGGGAGAACAGAAATTTCGTGTGTGGACGAAAGAGAAATAAAGAAATAATCTTTTAAAAAGTGAGAAAGGAACAATGGAGACGGACGATTAAAAAAAAAGATATTTATTTAAATTGTGTGTGTGTATATATGTGTGTGTGTGTGTGTGTGTGTGTGTGTGTGTGAGAGAGAGAGAGAGAGAGAGAGAGAGAGAGAGAGAGAGAGAGAGAGAAAGAGAGAGCATGTGTGGGAAAGAGAGTGTGTGTGGGTGTCAGGGAAAATGACGATGAAAGGAGAAAAAAAATATGTATATAGAAAAGATAAGAATGGGAGAACAGAAATTTCGTGAGTGGGCGAAAGAGAAATAAAGAAAGTTTTTGAAAAAGTGAAAAATTATAAAGGCAGACGGACAATTCATGAAAAAACTACGTAGAGTGAGTGAGAGGGAGAGAGAGAGGGTGAGAGAGAGGGAGAGAATGAGAACAAAGAGCGAAAGGGAAGAACAGAAAGAGGGAGAAATGGACGAAGATAGGAACAAGTCTATAGGTAAAGAGAATAAGAGAAAAGGGAGAATATGATCTTCCAGTGTGGGCAAAATAGTATTACAAAGAGTGACAAAAAAAGAATAAAAGAATTAAAATTGTGTAAAGAGGTAAGATGTGAGAAATATGAAAAATTTTTAGAGATCGAAGGTGAGTGGTAGTTAGATAATTATTGAGGGAGAGAGTGATAAAACGAGTATACTATAGTTGTAAATACATTTTTCAAAGATTGATCTGTTTGGATATTATTTTTTATATTTGTCTATGTGAAAATTGCCAATAGTTGCATAAAAAAAGTGGCAAGTAAAAAGTATCTTGTTATGTTTTATTTTTAATTAAATTTGTTTTTCGATATGTCCCCAATGGATTTTACATGTTCCTTTAAACGATATTGATGCAGTTGTTAGCCTGGCGTAGCCGACGGTTTCGCCGTAAAGGCTAGCGGTTCCGTGTTCAAATTGGTAGTACCGAGAAGAAATTTGGTCCAGGGCCAAACAAAGCCGGTCCCGCGTGGTTCCCGCCTTACCCAGCGATGAAAAGAAAAAACTTCAAATCAACTTTTGTAGCGAAACGGATAGTTTGGGTTAACTCGTTTTTGAAAGGTGGGAGGAAGAGATGTATAATCGGCCGTATTGAAATTAAAGGTGCCGATGGAGTGGCTGTCGGCCGTCTCTGTGTCGAGGGGGGAGCCGGCCGATGGTGGGTTCGGTGCCAGGACGGGAGGTGAAGAGGCCGGTTTGGGTGGAAGGAGGCGGTATTGGGAGGGACATGCGCGGTAGGGCATCCTACATTCACTACGAGAACGGTTGACGTCAGGTCTAGCCAATGAGAGGCCGAGAAAATGACGTCAACCCTATTTTCAGCAGGTCTGAGTCACAGGATAAAAAGAATGTCTAGCGGGAGTAAACAACATTCAGTGTCGAACCGTCGTCGAGTCCTTGTGTTCCGTCCGAGCAGTTGAAGTAGAGCCTACGCCGACCGGATCGGACTCTCTCGTGAGTGGTTTTGTGCTACTGTCCAAAAATGGATACGACTTTCTACGAAGAGCAGGCGTACAATCTCCCAATGTCCAAGGATCTGAAGCAGCTGAAGAGGCCGATGACGCTGGACTTCAACGGTTCGTCGGCCATGAAGCTGAAGCTCAACACGAACGTGTGCGCCCCTCAGAGCGTACTTACCACACCGGATGTGAATATGCTCAAACTCGGCACGCCGGAAGTGGTAAAACTACTTATAGACCAGCCAAATTTGGTGACGACGACAACACCGACCTCCACACAGATACTCTTCCCGAATAACGTTACGAAGGAACAAGAAAGTTACGTGAAAGGGTTCGTAGACGCGCTCAACGAGCTCCACCACAGCGATTCGTCCCAAGGTGCCATCTTCCCGAAGGGCGACGACTGTAAGCCGAACTTGTATTCCTTCGGCCTCTCGCCCGAGACCACGGTGATCAAAGACGAACCGCAGACGGTGCCCAATATCAACTGTTCCCCGCCAGTCTCTCCCATAGACATGGAATGCCAAGAGAGGATCAAAATGGAGAGGAAGAGGCAGAGGAATAGGATAGCCGCCTCCAAATGCCGCAAAAGGAAGCTGGAGAGGATCTCCCTCCTCGAAGAGAAGGTGCGTGTCCTCAAAGGCGAAAACGCCGAATTGGCCCAGGTCGCCAACAAGCTCAAAGCCCAGGTCTGCCGGTTGAAAGAAGAGGTTATGCAACACGTGAACCAAGGCTGCCACTTGATCGACCCTGGGACGCAGTAACACTCGTCTGGACAAAAACAATCAATTCAACCGGGACGTTTAGACTTTTGACACTTTCCATAGAAAAAAGTCTGAAAGATAAACTACAAAAATATCCCATCGGTATTATTTGTTTTAGTGCAATGATACAATTAATTAAGTAGACTCTGTTGAATTGTGCCAAGGCTAGTGGTCAGTTATTGCTAGAAGTGGTTTTTAGTTTTCTCACTCGACACAGTATCTAACAAGGAGTGTGCCTTAATGGCTGTGAAGTGTCCACTTTTGGACGCGATTTACGTCTTTCGTCCGTTTGACCGCATATGCACTTGCGTCGCAGACGAAAGACCATTTGTAGATTTCTGTTATATGCTGGTCGAGTTATCTCTAGTCGATAAGAATTAAAAATTTCGCCCTCTGTGAAATTGTAAGTTTGTACAGAGCCCCCGTGTGATTATCAGCATTAATTACATTATAACTGTAAGTTTTATGAACTACTAGTTACCTTTTTATTTGAAAGTAAACAATCAAATGACAAATCGGTTGTAAATCGATACTATTTTTCTTTATGCTTTATTTCAGTAGGACATTACTAGATTTTATTATTGTTACCCTTAATAATAAGAAATACGACCACCTTTTGGTTTAAGGGAGTGCAATATCGTTATTCATCGAAAATGCTTTATTACAATTTAAACTAACTCTAAGCTTAATCAAAAAGTGTTAGTTTTAAGTAATACTTGCCATATAGCCTAAAGACACGTCGACTGACCATTCAACAATGTTTTCAAATACAAGCATTTTGTGGAATTCGCAATTAATATGTGTTGTGACTCGTCTTACCTTTGTAATTTGATAGTCGATTGTGAGTTTTACCACTTATTTTTACAATGATTTTTAAGCATTTTACGATATACTTGTTTGGTATTGATCTTACTACTTTTGAACTACTTTCTGTTTAATGTAAACGTTATTTATTTGTGTCTTATATAGCCGAATGTATATTACATTGTGCCTTTTTGCCCCACAAAATTTGTTGACGTTATCATTGTTAAAATCTTATTTCATATGATCTACTTACTTTTATTCGGGGTTTCCCTTTAAACCGATGTCTTATATTTTTATATTTTTAAGCTTTTAATTTAAGCAAATTGAAAAAAATTTGTATTGTGATAGAGTTTTAATTAAATGTAAGCAATAAATTTTATAGTACCAAATATTTATATATTTAAGATGAAAATAAATTTGTATGAAACGTTTATTCCTTGTGGTCTTATTCCGATAACCTTTTTCTACATTCGAATTGATACACAAAGTTGCATTAAAACAACAAATAATATAATAAAAATTATTTACAGATAATAATGAAGGCTTTTAGTTGGGATAATCAAATATTGTATCTAGTTAAAAGTTCTGTACAAAAAAATTCGTTATCAGTATAGATTAGACTGGCATTGCTGTGTTTTGTGCATTTATTGAAGCTGGTAGATTCGATAGCTCTATTAAAAGTTTACGTAGATCAAAAATACAAAGAAATATTACAAAACGAGGCCAAGTAATGAAATGTTTTTATGCCAATAATTTTCATGGCAGGGTGGAGAATTATTTTTCACGGTCGCATCATGTAACTCATTTATAGGCCTTGCTTTTTACAAATGCATATTTTATACACTGTGTATCAACTTTTATAGTCCACACATTTAATTCGAAAACGATTAACTTTAGCAAAAAATGATCTTGTACAAACCCCAATTTAATTTTGGTTAGGGATCGCGGTGGTAACAGTTTTAACATAACTTTATCATCCAGCTGGGAAATGACATTTTAAATGAGAATACCGTATTTGTATTGTACAATTCGATTCTAGAGCTTATTTTATGTCACTTTTACTAAAAGGAAAATTTTGGTTGGATCGAACATTTCTGAGTTATGCCCGACGGAAGACGCATGAGGTGGGCATGCTTTTTGTAACAAGATGGACCTCACGTTTTTGATTTAAAATGCAGGGGGTTTATACTGTGCCTATTTGCGCAGGGGGCGTATTGGAGCATTTATTATAAACATGAATTTTAATGAATGGTCGAATCAACATAATTAAACCTGGGAGTGGCCAGTTTTTTGCTAAAGTTAATCGTTTCCGAATTAAATGGGTAGACTATAGAAGTTGACCTGTATATTCAATGATAAGTAAACTCTACTTTGAAACTCACTATTTTTCGTGGTCCGCATGACCAATTAGTATCATTCAATTAATTAATGCTTTTAGTTGAGATAAAAAAATCAGTGTCACGAGCGGGATTCGAACCCTTCGGCTTGATACGCCGCTACTCTACCACTTGTGCTATCGTGACTTCGATCCACTCGGGCACTAATTTCAGAAGTTTGTCCTTGGGAACTTTGGGAAGTTAGTGCCCGAGTGGATCGAAGTCACGATAGCTCAAGTGGTAGAGTAGCGGCGTATCAAGCCGAAGGTCGTGGGTTCGAATCCCGCTCGTGCCACTTGACATTTTTATCTAAACTTAAAATCTTAATTAATTGAATCTATTTTGAAACTTTTTACAAATACAAATATGTTTTTACATTAACTAAAGTAGTAAATATTTGTCATTATAATATATACTATTGTATTTATACCAAAGGTCTGGTACTACAGGTGGATTAGGAAATATTTTTAGAAAATTTAATATTAAATTCTACGTAAATAGGTACTACAGCTAGACTAAAATTAACCTAAAGTTTTTATTGGGTGCATCTATCTATTCTCGCCTGTTTACTTGCCAATTCCCTTGTTAGTTCTTGTAATGAGTCCGTGGGCAGGAAAACTGTTATAAACTGTCTTATGTTTTATGGGATTTCCTCTGGTCTGATGGATGATGAACTTATAGATTGTTTCTTTCCTAGGATAGACGCGTTTCGGCTTCTCGCCATCTTCAGACGTTAAGCAGGAACAGGCGAAGACTATAAATTACTAAAATGTGACGAAAAACTCAATTGACAGAACAAAACAGCCATGGCTAGATTAAAAGTACGACCGTACTGTTACATGTTTTGAACTATTCAACATTTTATTGGGTCCGTCACTTATTGCCAGTTTACTTACCAATTCACTGGTCCGTTTTTATAATATGGCCGTGGGCAGGAAAACTGTTTTAAACTGTCTCGACGATTCCTCTTGGGGTCTGTGGAGTGTTGAACTTGTAGTTTGTTTGTTTCCTAGGAACAGCTTAACCATCGCTTTTTTTCAGACACACTAAGGCTTCTCGCCGTCTTCAGTAATGAATTGATGTGTGATTTTATCAAACTTAAGTTCACTGATCCAACATGAATTCGTGCACGAGGATGGGCAGTTCAAAATAGTATTGAAGTCCCTGGCACTCAGGAAAATTATTTATTATTTTTTAAATTTCGTTGTCGGATTAGTTTAACTTAATGTGATTTTTGGTCATGTAAGTTGGTTACATGGTCGTCAATTTTATAAAACCTTTTCATGTGATATGTACGTGAATTTTTGTTTTGTTCACTTTTTCTCACGTGACTGAAATTTACAACTTAGTTACTAACCTATCACGTGTGGGCTGCTAATAAATTCAGTCGCGCATAGTTTAAGTTAACTATTAGTCATTATAAATGTTCAAAGCATTTAGATATATATAGTTTGATATTATTAAAGTACCTGGTTTTGATATAACTATTACTTTTTATTTAAGTTTGTTATGTAAAAATTGTGGTAAATATTTTAAACTTTAAAACTTTTAGCAAGTTTCCGCGTTTAAAACCTGTAAGTTAGAAGTTGAGAAATCGACGCGAACTTCAAACGCTTATCGATTGTTTGTCGTAGAGATGTGTTTGAAGTCGAAATACAAGAGATTAGAACAAGCTTTATCAACAGATTAGCCGTCTCAGAAAGCCGCGCTTAGTTAAAAGAAAAACCGTCTGTTAAACGCTCTGGCTCAGCTTTAATTAAACTAATCTACAATCTAAAGTCCTCGATGAAAGTTATAAAAACACGACTTTGACACGGTTCCCGTCTTGTTTTGTGATCGACGTCAAATTCGGGAAAACGCGTCGATATTGATTTTTAACGTTGAAATCAAACTAAAAACAAACCCTGTAACTTGTCACTACGCGTGATAAATAACCCAAATGCACTTGGTGGGGACGTCATTTAAAATGTAATTTAATGCACTGGATTTCTTCAGACGAGGAGGAATTTATTTTAGCTATGTTACAATTGTACATGTTTAAAGTATTAGAAGCATCGACCGCTCTTTTACTCACGAATAATCTTGAAATGGTCAGGATGAAGAAACAAATACTATTGTTACTGAGCAGTTCCAGATTATTCGTGACAAATGTTCATGTCTATCATTATCCAAATACGGCTCAATTTAAACTTTAAACAAGAGCCTTATGTATTTTATGTTCCATCAGTCGTCTACCTTATTTTCCTAACGACCATTGAACGTGATTCTACCGGAATGTAAAAGCGTGCCTCTTTTTAAGTGAAGTTTTTCAAAAAGGATGATGTAAATAAGAATTTAAAACATTTATAGAAGACAAAATTACCTCAAAAACAGTACAGTCGAACCTTGATAAGTGAAAACGCTGGGGACCAGGCTCTTAGATGTTACTTTTAGAGGTTTTTCGCCCCCCTCCCCAAGGTTCGGAGTAGTTTGTTGTATGGAGCTTGTTGGGGTTATCGAGGTTAAAAACAGAAAATAACACATTTCATTCCGTGCATTGTATGTTATCACAATGTACATACGCAATGTTGTATGTACTACATATTTATACATGTATGAGTACATATGTCAAAAGGTCAAATGAATTAGGTACATACATGAGTCAATTTGGCTTGAAGAATCCGGGATCGTGGTTTGCTTTTCATTGTCTATTTTGATCACCATTGATTGAAGATCAAGTAGCCTATGGGAAAACCTGTGTTTCCACGTTGGAGTTGCCTTCAAAATATCTCATAACTGTCCACTGCATGAAGTGCTTGCCTTTTCGAACTGGTGGCCCTTCATCAATTTCCTCAGAATCATTCTCACCTTCATCAGGCGCCGCACTACCGTCGGCGCAAGCATTTACGAAATCAGCGTCGGTGAACCCCCAGTGTTCAGCACTTCGTCGTCAACCCGTACGAAATCACCAAAATCTGGGACGTTGTCGGGCATGGTGTGTAACGCAGTTGTCCAATCTTCCCAAGACTAACAAACCTTCATGTTCTTCGGTAAGGGAAGCAGAGACAGTAATATGTTACTTTCGTGACAATTTCACTTAAGGTCAGGATTTGTCACTTATCCTTGATTTCTCACTAACACAGTTCCACATATGCATGTTCGACTGTTTTTTCAGTCAATGCGACATATTGAGCCATTAGGGGGGCTTCGGTGGCCGCAAGGGTCTAGGCTTACACGGCGCCCATCACTGTAAGGTAAAGGCCCCGGGTTCGATCCAGTGGTCCTGCATTCGAACCCGACAACTTACAAATGGCTTGTTTTTCAAAAACACCGACACCCCGTGGGTGTACCCTCGGGAAAAATGTATCATTGTGGAGTTCGTTGGTCTGTGAGTGAATAAGTATATGTTTGATCTAGTGGTCCGTCAATCCTCGCTGGATTTTTCTTTTTATGTGGCCCTCATGTGCGTTTACTGTTCCGCAAGTTAAAATATTATATTGTACAATGTTATGCAGAACTGAACAATTTTAGCTCATCATTACACAAACTTCATCAGAACTGATAACTTGACTGGACAGAGTAGGTTTCGGCTTGGACTTGAATTTCATCGTTCTCAACTGGCTACCTCAGCTAAAAATTCATACAAGCTCGTTTACAATAGTTCCCTTTCGAAGAATTGACGAGTTTCCTGTCTAATATCCCAGATTCCTTTTTCTTTCCTTCCTCGCATACCGAGAATACCAACGGGGTCGTTTTATTTCCCAAGGCCCTTACTCCTATAGAAAGATCTCAAGGGATTTATTTTATTTGAGTTTAATCAATCTTTTTTTTTGTGTGTGACGATTTTGACTGAATATGTCGACCTATGTTTTCAAAATTGAATGCACCTAATGAAACTATAAAAACGTATTAAACTTTTGAATGTATAGAGGTATGACAAGAAATTGCCATGACCAAAAATAATTTTTTTAAAAATTAAGACCATTTTTCTAAGTAAAGCTAATTTATTATTCCTTTATTTTATAGCTATAGTTTATTGCGTTCAAAATCAAACAAACAACTACATAACGCTACTTTTTTTTAATTCAAATAAAATTCATTGTATTGTTTCAGACTTCACACCATTTCCACTCTTCGTCAATTAATTCCAACCCTTTATTGGTTAAAGGTAAATTTTTTGAGTTATAAATACATCAGATTATGTAACACATTGACAATATTTCATAATGTACTTTTAAGATATCACAACATTAACATGACTCATTATCTAGGATATTTTGAGAAAAAAATATTTCCATTCTGTTGATAGAAAATATCAATAATTATACTGTTTTCCTTATTGGAGTATCGTCGATTTGTGTTTATTTATCATTATCCGTTCCATTTCACAAGTACCAGTAATGCAGTTGGTTGTAAGGATTAATCCTAAAATAAAATTACATTACTATATTATTATTTATTAAGGATTAATATATTACAATTAATTAAGGTTTTTAATTGAGATAAAAAAGTCAATGGCACGAGTGGGATTCGAACCCACGATCTTCGGCTTGATACGCCTCTGCTCTATCACTTGAGCTATCGTGACCTCGGTCCACTCAGACACTAAATTCCCATCTCAACCCCACCTTTCGATTTTTCCGTCTTTTTGCCATTTTCAAAATTCGAACGGTTGTAGGTTGAGAAGGAGAGTTAGTGTCCGTATGGATCGAAGTCACGATAGCTCAAGTGGTAGAGCAGCGGCGTATCAAGCCGAAGATCGTGGGTTCGAATCCTGCTCGTGCCATTGACTTTTTTATCTCAACTAAAAACCTTAATTAATTGTAATATATTAATTGGTCAAGCGGATCACGAAATTAGTGAATTTAAGTATTAATATATTTAGTGGTCTAATTGACGAAATTACTTCTTTCAATGAATTATTCTTTTTATGTAAGGTTTTGGTTGAATTGAAAAGTTAGTGTCACGAGAGGCATTCGAACTCACTATCTTCGGCTCAATACGCCGCTGGTCTAACCACCAGTCACGATAGCTCAAGTGGTTAGACCAGCGGCGTATTGGGCCGAAGATAGTGGGTTCGAATCCCGCTCGTGACACGAACTTTTTCATCTCAACCATGACCTTATAAAAAGAATAATTAATTACGCTTATTACACTATTAATAAAAAATTGGCAGTTCAATAGTTCACATGATTTCTGACTGTTGCTATAACAGTTATTCGTCAAATGTTAAGGGTTTGTTTTATTTTTCGTACCTTTTTTATTATTTTCTGGGTGTCGATTTATATTCTGTTCTCCAGTCGATCTAGGAGAATGTAAATAACCAAATTTTTCGTGTTGAAGGTCCTGTTATCTTATTCATCACATATTTGTTTGTACATAATTGAACAGTCGAAAAATTGTTTCAACAGATGTCTTATGTTTGAATAGTCCACGTTTTTATTTTCAGTTCTTTGTACCGACAATTTTTCGTTTCGTTTAACGGTAATAAAATTTAAAAAAAAATATTTCGTTTCTACTGGCAAATTGAGTTTCGGACCGAGTGTGAATATTAAACGGGGGATCGATTTCTTGTTATTTCTTATCGCTGAAAAGACGATAACATTTGATTAGTCTTGTGCGCGACAAGAGTTCTCGACAATCAGCCATGTAAAAAGATAAACGCCATTTCCAGTCGGCGATAACATAATCCTAGCCCAGTTTTTAAAGGATTATCATCCCCCTTGTTTCATTCTTATCTTGGATGTATAGTTAAAAGAGCCAAGCGCAAAAACTTTTATAGTTCCTTTTATAGTTTATGGTAATAAAGAGAGCCCCGTGTCGGTTGAACGGAACAATCAAGACACCTATATAATTACCTTTAAAACTCTTTTGACCTTCGTGGTTAAAACGTCTCTTCACTTCCTTATCCGTGCAGAATGAGTTAGAATTTGAAAAATCCGGCTGTAACAGTTCCCGGTGAAACGGCTGAGGTGGTATAGCAACCAAAGCGATCCGAGTAAACGCTTCGTGCAAATAAGTTACCCGCAATTAACACGCAGACGGCATTCGTTTTCAGACTGTCTTCAAATGAAAAGAAACAATATTTGGTTGCTTGTTTTCAAAGGTTTTTGACCCTTTTGCCCGGTTGCTGGCCGACTTCAAATTCCAATCGCGTCCTATTTTTTTTTTTTTTTTAAATAACATTGGCTATGCATTTAAAAGCAAATCCACAAGGATGAAATGCAATCATTTATATTATTTAAACAATATCATGCTATTATTTATTTTTAAATTTTTGACAATTATTCTCTATATTCACCTAAAACCGGATCTGTAACACATAGCATATATTTTTTTATTCATTAATAAACCAAAAAATAGCTCGGCTAAGAGTGACGAATTCATTCATATTTGAAAATGAGTCATAAAATTGTCAATAATTCATGGAATAGGTAACAAAGCTTTTGTGATTAATTCCGTGTTAAAAGAAAATATATTTTTGTTTATATCTTTTGTTTTTTTTTTTGCTAATATTGTTTCTTTCTTTCAAACATCATTAGCTTTCTGACCTGTATAATTTTAATGTATAAATATCATTTTATCGTATATTTAAATATTTGTAGTTGTTGTTAATACTGGAGATTTTATTTATTTATTGAACCATACAGGAGTCTATTTATCGCAAGTTATCTCAATCTGTAATTTTATTTTTATCAGAACGACCGTTCGAACCATGCACCGAAATTTCGTTAGGTTTAACCTGTTAGAAGAGAAAACTACATCCTAAGAATAGATTCAGGGATAAATATGGTCTTGCAGATCCTCCTCTGGCCAATGTATCTGCTACACAAGATATCATCAGGTTGTTGTGTTTCCCCAGGTTTTGGAGATTTTGGATGCATTCACTGACTAATTTTGATGTGATTTTTTATATGCTAATGCTTTACTAGCTACTTCGCTATCTGATCTTTTGAGGATTTTTCTTCCCCAGTGTAAACCTCTTTTAAGGTTTTCTAGGGCACAAGCATTGATGGCATGTATTTCAGCTTGAAAGACCGAGGTGTACTTGCGTAATGAATTTGGAACTTACAAAAACCGCCTTATCCGGCTCCATCATGTGTTTTGGAGACTTCTGTCTACCATATCGTTGTATCTGATGTTTTCCTGAATTCTTCTTCTCCGTAGCCTGTTGAGACTTTAAGGATGGTGTAAAGAGTGTTTCCGGGATCATGTAGTCTGCCCCCTAATCCATGGTTGTCTGTTTTTATTGATTATTGTTATGTGCTTGAAGTGTTTAGTTCTCAACCAGTTTGTTTCTGAAGCCTATATGAGCTTTCCCTCGCTTATTCTTGTATAAATATTTCCATTTAGCATTGTTTCTAGTGCAATTGACGGGATTGTTTTTATTGCTCCTGAGATACATAGGTTTGCAGATTTTGTTTGATGCCTAATGTTTGGGTAAATAGTTTTTGGTGAACTTTCATCTGCCAGATTGCCGTGTAGAATCACTGGGCCATTTCGGTTTCGACACCAAGATTTGCTCGTTCTTCGTGTGATCATTAGTGATATTATGTTTTTATTTAATACTGCATGTTTCTGTTGCTAAGGTTTGTTAAAAATGCTGAAACATATGCTTAAAAATTGGTGATTGTCTGTAACCTACATGCTAAAAAAATATGTATTCATCTTTTAAGGATATATGTATTTAATTTAGGGTAAAATTCAATAATTGCCCTTGATATGAAGTCTTTTCTCAAAATGTCTCTCTCTTTTTTTTTCTCTCTCTCTCTCTCTCTTTCTCCCTCCTCACTCTCTCACCCCCTCTCTCTCACTCCCTCTCTCTCTTTCTCTTTTCCTCTCTCTCTCACCCTCACCCTCTCTTTCTCTCTCTCTCTCTCTTTCTCTCTCCTCACTCTCTCACCCCCTCTCTCTCCCTCTCACCCTCTCTCTCTCACTCCCTCTCTCTCTTTCTCTTTTCCTCTCTCTCTCACTCTCACCCTCACCCTCTCTTTCTCTCTCTCTCTCTCTCTGTCCGTCCGTCGGTCTGTCTGTCTGTCCGTCCGTCCGTCTGTCCGTCTGTCTGTCTGTGCCTGCGTGCGTGTGTAATCATTTTAATTTCCCACTGTAAATCTTTCTTCAGTATTATGTTTATCTATTTCCACCCATCATTTCCTAAATTCGAGGATGAGAAAACAAAAATAAACACATGATTACTTTGAAGTCAAAATTTATAGTGCACATGGAATTCCTGCAATACCTTCTGTTTTCTAGGGTTTTATAGTTCTGGAGTATTTTTAAATTCTACCGAGATATTTTCGATACACAGATGTTTCTATTACAAAATTTGGTTTAATACAAATAATTTTTTACTGCTTTTTACTTTAATAATTTTATTTTCAGCTAAACAGTACCTGATGCAAAACAATAAATGTCTTGCACTCCCGAGTAGGATTCTTCTTAAGAAGCATGGGATGTAGGCCAAAGATTTAATCCTTATTTTACGACCAGGAGTATTATGCGGAAATCGATATTGGAATTTGTCACGTAAAACTGTGATATTGTGTTGGGTGGGCCAACGGCAGCAAAATCAGAAACCTATCTTGACATTTTAGCGTATTTGATTGATTAATTGTTCTTCGTGAGTCATGGCCGTCATTCAGCGGACTTACAACCCAAACAAGCCGTTCGAATAAGTACGTTGAAGGACGTTTTAGATTAGGATCACCGATAAAGAAAATTTTAAAAAATTGGGACACGGAAAATACTGTCTGATTTCCTCCGATGGATTAGGCAAACAAGCGATAGGAGAAAACACCGTCTTTACACGAGAAAAGAGAAAACAGTAAACACCTCGAGGAAACAACGGATTTTATTGTTGTTATTTATTTACTTCCTACGACATTCTATACTAATCTGACAACATTTTTGAAATTTTTACGATTGCCGTTTAGATATTTAAAAAAATAAAAAAAGGACGCAGTTGTATAATTAGATTTATTTCAAACACACCCATCGTAATAACGAGAAATATTTCCTCCAAGTTGCATTAGATTTTTACATAAAGTTGGTAATTTCCACAGGTGCCCATTATTTTTTGTTCGGTGCATGCGAAACATAGATTGGCGGTTAAGCAATTCTGGAATGCGCATAAAAACAGCGAGTCTGGACAGACCGTAATGTTATCTTGATGAATCTGACAGAAATCATAGTAAATTCAAATAACTAGTAATATCCAAAAACTTCACAAGTCTAAATAATTAACAAACTACATCATTAACCCTAAAAGCATAAAATCTGCCGAATATAATATTGTTTATTACGACAAACTAGTAGTCAACTATATATTCTCATATTTAATGAGTTATGTTTATACAAAGTTATAATAATATTTTTAACTTATTTCTATAAATATCAAATTAAAAAATCATGGATAAGGTCAATTTGAAAGAAAAGAAAAATATTCAGTTCCTTCGCCAAGCTTTCGTGGAATATCTCCCCTTTGTCGAGACTTTAAAGCTATTATTAATAATTTTCAAGGTTGACTTATAAACATGAGCATTTACTTACGACCCAGCATCTTTTCAAAAATAGTAAATTTCCGAGTTGAAAGTGAAAAGATCTTCAACCGGTCCGTTCTGCATCGGAAATGTAGTTTTATAATAACAGAAAGAAATTATTTTAGCTTTACTATTTGTAACTAAATATTTATGTTACACTAGAATTAACGAGCACTAGTAGAGAAACCGGCCAACACGCATTCAACATGTGGGATTAATAGGATGTCTAGGATGTCTCGAGCGTCATAGTGGAGTTAGTTTTGATGGAGAAGTTAATGTGCAACTTTTGGCAGCCGGGTAGGATCGTTGACAAAAGGATGTTCAGGTCGTTACAGATAATGAATAGTGAGATTAGTAAGGAGATTTGATCTTTCTTAGGACTTTTCATTGGAAGGATTGAATGCGCTTGATTTGACATGGCTCCATATGTTCAAAATGGTCGCATTAATGTGTTGTGTAGAGTTAGCTGAGTTTTGTCAGCCAAACAGATTTTCATCCTTCAATTCTTCATGGTTGTCCAAGTCTTCTGTTACATTAGATTAAATTATATAGGAGCCAGTCTCTGCATCGCGACAAGTATTGGTCTATTGTGTATCTTCATTTTTGTAGAGCTCCTCGCTAAGCTTAAAGCGTTTTCCCAGACCCCAAAGTTTTTCCAAGGGCTTCCGTGTTTACCCTTCAGGTCCTGGCTTTTCCTCTCTCAGGATTAGGAATCTCATGCTTTCGCACCTACAGAGATCGTTTTCCCCTGTTTCTTCTTCTTCTTGGCGTGTATACAAATGCGTCCAAATCTGCAGTGTCCATTTAGCCGTCCAGCTATTATCTAGCCCTAGTACGTCGTAGGTTTAGTAGTTCTGCCGTTAGTTTCTGCGATGGTTGATAAACATTTTCGCATGCTTCAGCCGCACGCTACATTCCCATTGATCGGAGGACATTATTAATCCATTGTCTAACGGATCCGAGTTTTTGGTAGTTTGGTAGGCCACTAAAGGGTTCAGGGCCAATTGGTTTCCTCGGCAAATTTATCGGCCTCTTTGTTGCCCCTCTGCGCTGTGTGTACTGGCACCTAGACAAGGGTAATTTTGTTATTTTACCCAATGTCTGACAGGGCTCTAATACAGTCCCAAACAATGGCAATTGCCTTTAGTGTCCGAGTAGATGGCTATTTTTCTATTCCAGCCTTTTTATGTCCCTGGCACAGTGCTCAATAGCCACAGTTTCCGCTTGAATGACGGTGGTGTATTGTCCAAGCCTTATTTGAATTCTACTCCTTAGTTATTTCCATAACTGCCTCATCCACAGTCGGTTTTGTAGCCATCTGTAAACCAGATACGGTAGGCATTAACTGGGAACCTGTCCCTGCATTACCCAAAACCTTCTGTATAGTTGTCTATTAAGTTTTTTGGGAGGATTCATGTCTGTTGCCTAGGCCCTAATTATCTGGTTTAAGAGGAAGTCGGTAGTTCCTTGTTGTTGAGGTAAATTGAAGAACAACATTTTTTTTTTTTTTCAATGTAAATGTACACTTTACAGTTTCCCTCATTCAGCTTTGTCCTGTACTTTCGCAACAAGTCTTGATAGCTCGAAGGATAGTGATTAAAAGACAAATGGCGGAATCATAGATGGTAATGGTGGTGTTGGCATGTATACGAAAGTCAGCGGTATAAATGGTAAACAGAATGGGACCAAG